TTCTCCCTCCTCCTCCCCTCCCCTCCTCCACCCCCCCCCCTCCTCTCTCTCTCTCTCTCTTTCTCAGAACGAGCGCGTGCCACCTTCGGTCGCGTCTCAAAATACGCGCGAGTCATCGGTTCCGTGGAAGGCGCCGCTGACTGAGCCGGCCCGGACTCGAGCAAGGTCTTGCAAATCTTGCACTCTCCATGAAGGAACGCACTCGTCGGTCGTTACGCAACGCGACTCGACTTCGCGTCGCAGCCCGCCGTCGTCATCCGACGCCGCGATCATGCGGATCGCGGACGCGATCATGCGACATCGTAATCCTACCTGGATGAACACGGTGAAGTAGATGACGGCGATGGTCGTGGTGACGAACATGGGCTGCAGCGGCACGTGTCTAGGATCTATGAGGAGCACCAGGGCGAACGCCACGGCGCCGCGCAAACCACCGTAGGACATGACGAATTTCTCCACCTTGTCCAATTTGTGCAGCCGAAACTGATTCGCCAGCGCTGTCAGCACGATCACGCCTGGAAACGGGAATTCGAGCGTGATTACGATTGAATATCCCCACCAAAGAGCATGTGGCATTTATTCGATCGCGGTCTCGACGCGGTCGAGAAGACAGTTTTAAGAATCCGTTTCTAGATTTGCATCGTCATGTATTTATTTTTATCGATTTTGTCATGTTTCTGGCATCGAATATCATTCCTCTTCGGTCCTACATACGTAGACGCTCCCGATCGATTTATTCGATTACGAACCGTCGCTAATTGCCTATTACGAAGGCACGAAAGGCTGTGCCGATGTAATATCTCTAATGGAAGCAACGCGTGGCGTTTTTCAGACTCGTTCTTATCTTTTCACACTTTCCGCACGATCGGATGACAAATTGTCCGGTTTCCAGAACGAGAAGCCATAAGTGAAGACGCGTCGCTCGCCAGTGACGTAAGATGCCCGTGTAAGTAAGAGTCAATTGTCTCAAGTCCCATTATGATTTCATCGTTTAATCGTATCGCCTTACACGCCGTTCCTTACTTCGCCGACGAAGCGATGCCCTTAACGACCGTACGAGTGGCCCGGTCAAGGCTCGCGCGATCGTGCGAGAATTCTTCGACACGAATTCGCCGTTATCACGCCACTTTTCCTCGTTTTCTCCTCTTCGTAACGTTCCTTTAAACCCTTTCCACGCCAACAGTTTTGCAAACTAACTTTTTTTTATCGGTCGTTTCGGAAAGAGAAGTTAACCTACCGTATCTTTTTGAAATTTAAATCCGTGCTGGCAAAAGTATCATAAAGTAAAGCCTTCGAAATTGTTAAATGGTAAATACGTTCTCGCGAAAGAGGACGCGTTGCGATTCAGAATCAGTAATCACTCCGTTCGGACGTCAGTACGCTAAACATAGATGGAAGGAATCCTTTTCGGTCGAAATAAAATTAGAAAATCTGGCTTTTACTTGCCCACGGCCCGATAGACGGAGCAGAAGACTATCGTCGTGACGACGAACCACGTGTTCCAATTGTGCGCATTGTTCACCGTGGCGACACCGAGGAACATGAATATGATGGTCTCCGAGCTACTCGACAGCATCTTCATTGTGTACTTGACGGTCGTGTGAGACTTGTGCGATATATTGGCCTCGACGTAATTCTTCATGGTGATACCGCAGAAGGTTATTCTGAAATAAAGGGATTCCGAATTACACGGAGCGTGGTAGCGGCGCTAATTATCGCTGTTTCGACAAAATTAAGATTCGTAGGCAGGAATCTTGTCTGTAAATACGAGCAATTATAACGGACGGCGTAACTATGGGAATTAAACCCGTACTTGTTAACAGCCCGGCTCGGCATCGATCCTCCGTCCAACGGACGTTTCCTTCGCGATAGATTCTTAACGTTTATTTTCAGTTCCTTATAATTTCTGCAAAGAGCCGTGCCAATAGGAACGGTGCAACAAGTTGTTGCAACTTATTCTTGAAAATTGACACCATCGTTTATCAGTGGACGCTCATCCGAGATATCCAAGAATAAATAGTCGATAATATTAAATTGCAATGGGGTCAAATCTGGGGTCGAACCTGGCTTTAGCGTTTGTCGAAACGCACGTTTGTCGAAACACACGTTATTGGAAACGCATTCTGAACGCAAGCGGGTTAGGAAGGGGGAAGGGGGCTGGAGATACCAGCGCGGTGTGTCGAGGATTTACTTACGCCAATATTCCGGACAAGTGGAAGATCTCCGCGCTGAGGTATGCCAAGTACGCCATCACGAATATGAAGATCGGCTCTATCACGCGCACCTGATGAGTAAACCTGGTCACGAAGCCAGTGGCGAAACCCCAAACTATACCTATGACCGTGCCGCCGATCGCCACCACCAGAAACGACGCCAGGCCCTTCAGCACGTCCGTGTAGATGATTCCAGCGGGGCCCATCTCGCTGTACGTCTCGAACATGTGATAGAGCACCTGTTTCGTATTAAAATGGCCTTTCACTTCATTCGTCGTCGCAGTAACCTTTGACACTTTCCGCCGCTCGCCTCGCAACAGCACGAAACTAACAAGCGGCGGATCGTTAACGATTCAACCTTTTTCGCATACCGCATTCTTAGCCAGCACGACCCAATTTTTACGAAGCGGAACATTTTCACGAGATAGAGAACACTTTTCAGACGGCCGATTAACGACATTGTGAATATTACAGATTATAAATAAGGTAATAAATAGAGGACGCAGCGGCCTATGTGTAGAGATAAATCTCGCTACGTAACGGATAAAATTAGACTAACTGTGAATGAGATTCCCGAAATCACCGCGGTTTGCTACATTCTTCTTGTTCATAAACGGCGCAGAGATATTTTTTGAGTTAATTGTGCATGAATGATATTAATAACCGTCGAGGCGCCTGTGCCGACGACACGTTTATTAAACCCGTCGCGATGAGCCGTGTTGACAAAACGAGTTTGTATTACATTGTATGTTTTGTTTTATTCAAGCGGGGCATTACGGATCGCAGACATACGATTCGCGAGCAAATACGATATTAATTTTTTAAGCGAGGCAAAGGTATTTGGTACTTGACTCGCGCTTATGGACATTGTGATCGATGTTATATCGATCGCACGCCGGACAAGTGCTTGTCACTTGATGATATCACGTGCAAAGCTTTACTATATTCTATCTTCTATATTCTATATTCTATCTTCGTTTATTTATCAGATATTCTAAAACGCGAGGAGGATGAGATAGGATATTAATCTACGTCAACTTCAGGGTCAATTGAGGGCGGATGCGAGAAGAGCAAGAATCCGACATCATACATAAAATGATTGTAATTTATATTATCTTCTTCCTGACGTATTGTTGATTACATTCCGATATTCCGCGATCATTAGTTGAGAAAATAATATAGGTCAGGAAATTAAATCATTCTAAAAAATAAATTATTTTTATGATTTCATTTATATATACTTGAAACATTTATACTTAAAAGCTTTCAAATAAATATCTGGAAGAGATATTTTCATTTATTTGTAATTTTTATTTTATAATTTATATCGCGAATATTCATAATTATTTGAATTATGTATTTATTACGATTATTTTAAAAAAGGTAAAAATATACGTGTATTATATTTTTCTGTTTAAATACATTCATTTAATGGAGTGCAGGAATCTTGTATTTGCGGAGCAAGCGGCTAGAAAGAGAGAGAGAGAAAGAGAGAGAGAGAGAGCTTTAATCTTCATCTCTCTCTCTCTCTCTCTCTACATATCTCTCTCGACCTTCAACAGCTTGCAGCAAAAGGACAAAGATTTCTGCAGCACCACATGCTGCCTACGCAACAAATTCTTTAACGTGCAAGCTCGCGTTAATATAAATAATGTAATACTCACGACAGTGACCGCGTCGTTCAATAAACTCTCTCCGAACACGACGATGTAGAGGATCTCGTTCACGTGGATCTCCTCAAAGACGGCCAAGACGGCGACGGGGTCGACGGCGCTGATCAGCGCCGAGAAGAGGAACATGTCGAGGATAGGCGTCTCGACTCCGAATATACCGCTTTTCCCCAACAACCATAACGACACACCTAAAGTGAAAACCGCGGAACTTTTAACCGTGAAAACGCACACTTGAGCTCTGATAATTTTTTTACACCCGTAATTTGTCCCGATTGTCGCGAATATCGTCGTTAATCCGTTTTAAATACATCTGAATAAATTGCCAATTTGTCGCGATTATTATTATCCCATCGACCCGCAAAGTCATTGAACCACGATATAGGAGAGAGATAGAAGGAGAATGAGTGAGTGAGTGAGTGAGTGAGTGGGTGAGAGAGAAAGAGAGAGGGAAGAGAGAGGAGAGAGGAGAGAGGAGAGAGAGAGAGAGAGAGATTAACGTCGCCAAAGATAGAAATTTGCATTATCGGGTACCGGCGCTCCGCCCACGTATTATATTCGTACCTCATCGTAAGTACTCGCACTCTTCGTTCCTCTGGGGAAAAACCGTCTTGGTATTAAGCCTTCCGTAGATTTGCGATTTGTACGTGGTACAGTTTTTAATCTGCTCGTACATTATCGTACATTAATTAAGATCGTATCGCAATTTCGCGTTATTGATCGCTGCTGTTGTTGTGCTTACGTTGGTCGTCCTATATCGTTTCCTTCCTTGGAAATTATTCGCGATACGCTTCTAGAAAAGCAAGGAGCTTTCATTTTCTGCGGGTTTTTATCAATTAATTACCAGTTAATTGGATATCGTTAGATCTTACCACGGTAATTACAGTAGTCGTCGTTGGAAATAATTAAATTTTAATATGACGTTATCGTTTTTTTTTACATTTTTTATTTTACCTTACATCGCGTTCAAATGTCATCGTGGTGATTTATTCGCAGGAATGTCTGCGTTCTTTAAAGAAATTTAAATAAGTCCATATTTTCCTGTATATTTTCTATCTTAATAGAGATTGGCATCAAATTATGGTTTCGATGTTTGGCAAAATTTTAATGTCAAAATTTACTAAAAAATTAAAATTGCAAATAATTATAGACGCACTCCGCGCTTCTTCTCGAAACATTATGTTAATTAAATGAAATAAATAAACTTTCCAAGATTGAAATTAAAATAATTAAAATTTTAATATCGGAAAAATAATGAGAAGCAAATGTGAAAATCTTTTACAAAAGATATTACATTTCGAACATTCTATTTACTTATTACAAGAAGAATAAGAATCATGCATTTTTTACATTAACTTTGTACCTTGTAAATGTTTATATAAATCTATAAAACAGTTTACAGTGCTATTGACTTGGCGTCTCTCGCGATAAGAGGTAACTGCTCGAAAATATGATACTGACAATCTTTTTATGTGAAGTCATCAATTCTAATCGATATTCGCGCCCGTCTTTTATCCCCAACGTGTCTATGCTATTCCATTACGCTTTTTTTTTTCAACAAGATTCTATCAAGCATTAAATAACGCAGATTTCGTCGAATGTCGTGATAATTTTGTTTCTTCTTTTTCATAACGATAATTTCGCTTGAAATCGATTATCATCACTATTGAATCATAAGTTATCATCGCGATGATAGCGATTATCGCACAATGACAATTGTCACACACGCTCCATATATTATCATTGTCGTTGCTGTCATCGTCATTCTCGTCAACGTCGTCGTCGTCGTCGTCGCCGTCGTCGTCGCCGTCGCTTACTTCGTGCTTCGACGCGTGCGCTATTTTCGTTTTCTAGCCGCGTGTTTTCTCTGTATTTTCAATACGAACATCTGCACTTACGCTAGACTGCGAACAGACCGAGAGCAGAAGTGAAAAATGGAAATTCCACCATCTATCAAAGGGCCGGAGCGTTTTCTTTATGTATGCATCTCTCTCTTATACATACGTATTTTCACGCAAACAACTCGCCCAACTCTTACTACACTTACTACTTTTAGTTTTTTAATTAATTTTGCTATTCTATTTTATAAACTTCACGTAGAAAGTCATTTTTATCCTTTTTTAATAGCGTCTTTAATAGCCTCTTTTCATATCGAAAACAAAATCCTGTTGAATAAATAAATTTGAAAATTTAACTGGATATAGACCTAAAAAATAATTTTGTTGAGCCATCAAAATTATTATGTAGGACGTTTAAGCACGATGATAATAATAACGCACAAAATTTTTATATTCTAATAGTCAACTTGAACGTTTTACATAATTATTTCAATGATTCAATAAAATTTTTAGCATCTGACCAAATTTTTAGATACTAAAATATTTAAAATCTTATTTTAACTTGTATTAATAAAAAGTAGTTACGTGGCGACTTTCTGATTTTTCCTCATATAGCCGATGTAAATTATAGTGTTATATATTTTTTTACAATTGTATCTGACCTCATAACGTTTCATGCTCGAAATCACTCGCGCAATCTAGCATACGATGATGGAGGGACTCTGTAAGTGAGTAAACAGATGTTCATGTTTCTATATATGCGGAATCAGTCTACGTGGGCGAGGACGAGCCCGAGTTAGAACTTAGAACGCGACTGACGTGTCGTGGGAAAAGAAATTACATCCAAGTCGAAAATTTGTCCGATGTCCGTCGATCGCGCCAACGGGTCGTGTCGCGTCGTGTCGTCGGCGCATTATACCAACCTATCGACATCGTATTAAATATAGTCCCAAGGACGGCGAACAGGAGTATCGTCCCGAGGTGATCGAAGAACAGCCGATTGGGCATGAAGTAGCCGGCATCCAGGATAATAGGCGGCAGCATGTACAGGAAGAACGTGTCGGGGGTCAGCGGCGACACGTGGACGCTGCTCGCCTGGAACAGGAGGAGGCCGACGATCACGCCGACGGCGATCAGCAAGCAGGACTCCGGGAAGATCTTGTTGAGCTTCGGCGTCATGTGGAAGCCTAGACATCGATCGTCAAGACGATTAATTAGAGGTTGTCTCAATGAGTCGAGATAAGAAAGAGATCGAGACCGTTTCAATTTCCGAGAATCGTTTCAAGAAGCAGAGAGCTCGGATCCCGATGTACGCAGACACGGGAAACGATTCGTGGCGTGTTCGCAGCGTCAGAATCAGACCGAAATTACATTAAATTCGGTCTCGATTAGGGAGCCAGACCACGGATGGAGCACGTGACGCGCTGCGGCGAACAGCGAAGATTCCACCGAATGCGGCAGATGCGACATGTCGCGTGTGTCCCGCATTTCTTCACGCCTAGCACATGGTGGCCCCCCCCCGTTTCGCGGGCGGGGGGGGGTTTCGTGACCACGCGCCGTATGTCGTATCGCAAACGTGCATACGATGCGCCATGTTCGAAAACGTTCCGATATTCACCGTGGAATTTTTTTCGTCACGAAATCTCGTGAATGCGCCAAGCGACAATCGTTGAACGTAATATGACATGAATCGCGATTTTCGTCAACTTGGAACCGAGCTCGCGTTTAAATTACTAACTTAAAAAACAATTCAGCTGTTTTATTTATCTATATAATAGTTATCTGCGACAAACAACGTTTCTGTTGTTTCACAAAAAAAGAAATCTAAATTTTTTTAGTTTTGAGATAGATCCGTTATAGATATTCTGGTGACGTACGATACGTAAATCTCATGTAGATACGTCCGTTTCATTTCTCCCGTTTTCTCTTATTCTCGTGACTTTTACCACTCCGCTCCGTCAAACGAAGAACCGAAATATCAACGAGTTTGTTTTTCTTCAACTACCACGTTTTGCATGCCGCGTACTTGCGTACTTTCCACGCGTGCATGCAACGCGAGTAAAATTGCACGGGGAGAGGAAGAGAGGGAGAGAGAAAAATTGCGTCCATCGAGTTTCGTATTGCTCGAACGGGTATCCGGTAAATGGAATGCTCACGTTCGAGTTCGCCCGTCCATTCTTATCGTGAGCTGCGCACACAAGAACGAGTGCATCGTAAGACACTAACACTCTTGAGTCTTTGGAGTGGCGGAGCATCTTCATCCATCTCGAAATGCAAAATCGTGGCTTTTCTGCGGCGCGAGCAATTTTTCAAGAGCTTACACGCGAAGGCGTTACATGTTCCGATTTATAGATTTATACGAAATAAATTTGCGAGGCTGTTAAGATACAAATTTTTATTCGACATTTTTCAGCATGGAGGCCTCTTTTGTCCGTATTCCCCCGCGCATTATTCGCTTGTAATAAATTATTAAAAAACAAATTTCATTGTGACGAAAAAAGGGTAATGAACCTTGCATAACGTAACGAATATTGCAGCCTGCTTTCAATGACATTTGCCAGGTTTTGTTACGTAAGCAAATGGAAAAATATGGTATGCGCTAATGTATTCATCGAAAAGCATCAGTACCGTGAAAATTGACGCGACCTGATGTGCACAGGCGGATAACAAAATTGCGACAGATGTTTTCGGTTATAACAATGGATGCAAAATGTGTTCATGATATGGCAATTTTCAAATAACGTTGTCTATCGTAATGTTTGAAATGATCATATTACGTATATTGTATTGTTTAACCATTTCCAATTTTGCTGTGTTTCATATTATTGCGGGTTCAAACAGTTAATTACGAATGTGACATGGGGAATACAATTTATCTTTTAAAAAAAACTTCATATTACTCTCCATTTCGCCAAGACACAATGAATGTTAAACTAATTTGTAACGAGAAATAATGGTTGGTACTTAACCCGTTGAATTGTTCATATGAGGAATAGATATTAGTTTTACAAAGGTCTATTCGATCTAAATACCCTAAATAAATTGCAAATATTATTTATGATCGGTACAGATACCTTTTTAAAAAAATATATATACAAGTTATTAACTTCCTGGATGAATATATCGTTTCGTTTAAGAGCACATTTGATTTATTACAAATGTTTATCGCAAATGTTATATCTGTCTTTCCTACAACAAGTTCGCTCTTAAACGTTGAACAGTCTGATATTTATATCAAACAATATGCTCCAAAGAGGTTAGCGTCTTACGCCTACACATATCCTCTCTTGAACTCAACATCTCGAAAAAAAAGAGGAAAGAGAAAGAAAAAAGAAAGAATGTCCCGATTGGTCCTCGAGTTTGTCGGCACTTACCGATTTTCGCAATGCTGGCGAAGAAGATCCATATTCCGATGAGAAAGGGCGTCTCGACGCGCGAAAACTCGACGGTGATGACGTGATACTCCGGCTTCTCCTTCTCTTCGGGCAAGGAGACGCCTGTGGAGTCGTCGCTGGAGCGTGCCGAGGCGACCTGCTGCGATTCCTCAGGAGGACGTTGTCCGGCGTCGTCAGTGGCCGACGAGAGGCTGCGAAGGGTGGGGTGGTATCCATCGTTCGGGGGTAGGGCCGAGCGGACTACCGGGCCCATGGGCCCGAAGCCCAGGCCGGGGTATGCGCTATGGGGGTCGCCGGGAAAATCACCGGCGTCGATCTGCGGCCCGTGCGACGAGGGATGCTTTTCCGCCGGGATCCGCTCCGCGGATCCGAGCTCGTGGAAGGGCGCGAGGCCGGCGCGACCGCATCCCGGACCGTACAGGACGACGACGAGGAGCGCGGGGATGATCATCGAGACGAGGCGGCCCATGGTGCGGCCGACGCGAGGGCGGCGCGACGACGACGACGACGACGACGACGACGACGACGGTACTTCTGCCGTGGACGATCCGCGCCGTCGTCCGCGCTCGTCCGTCGCCGGTGAGTCACTACTTCTACTCGTTGTACCATCAGAAGGGAACCGCCACGACGACGAGCACGCTCGCACGTGTTGCGGAGGCTCCCCGCGACTGACTCCCCTAATCCCCGTGCAGCAGCGACAGGGGCGGCCTATTCGATGAGCTACTACCCTCCGAGTGCGATCACACACCGTCCTGCCGCACCCCTCGCGTCCCCCGCGTGATTGCTCTCTGAATCGTTATGCAATACGCCGATTCGTTTGTATACGAGACTCGGAAACCCTCTTCCGTCCAAGAAAATTCGTTTGCTTACATAAGGTTCTGCCGATGATACACAGCTCTCTATCTTCTTCCGCAGCTTTCTGTATTTCACTCGAGAGCGTGAAAATAGCGTAGCTTCGATTCGTTTTCGTTTCGTAATGACACTGTATGGACGTAACGTCTTCGAGAAAAACAAAATTAAACACTCTCGGTGTGGAGAGACACGCCGATAGGTTCGGCGTGAAAACTGGATGGGAGCTCGGTGTTGCGACTACTACGATCCGAAATGAACGATAATAAGCATCGCGGTTGTAAATCGTTAAAACGTCAAACCCAATAATTAAGCGTGACTCATACCGCTTCGGCGTCGAGACGTCACGCGCCGCGATGAACAGCTGCTACTGGTCCATATCCCTCGCGCGAGATCGCATAGGAAAGATGTGCGCCGCCAGAATAGCGCCGATGTTAGAGGAGTGCCTCGCACCTGGTCCGGAATCGAATAAAGAGCTCAGCTGCGATCGTATCTCCGAGTAAGAGACGCAGAGTAAGAGACTGCTCTTTCCGGTTCGGGGTAGGGAAATTGGATGCTGCTCCACCGCCTGCGTAATTCAGCTCGTGCAAACGTGTAGAGGAGGCCTCGTATATGGATTCGCGCACGCGGGAGTACGACTTCCGGCTTTTGCGCGACCCCGATTTAACTCCGGATCGGACGTCGCCGCGTTTCAACCGCGACGATCGGACTGGAACGATGACGGGGCGGGAGGAGGGACGGGAGCGTCGCTCTTCGCGCGCGACGCTGCTCGTCTTACGCACCGCTCGCGAATACCGCGACGCTCTCAAGTTTTTACAGAGTCACCCGGCGATGAGCGCGAGGTCTGGTCGACGCGCGCGGCCGCGGCGGCCCGTGGACGACGACGTGGTGGAGGGACAGGAAGCGTGATGATGATAACGGGCGCGCCGCATTATAAAATACGGGCGGACGACTCATCGGAGTGGACGTACGTCGCACCTTCGCCGGCGTGCCTCTATCGACCGCGACCGCGAGCGACGGAACGACCGACACGGCAGCACTGCACGGCCCGCGAACTGACGCGCACTACCGTCATCGTCGTCGACGGTGGCGGCGACGGCGACGACGCCGATAACGCCCCGAGCAACGGGGAAGCGCTGCCAAAAACGTGCGTAGGCACCGTCGGCACTGCCCTCGTCGTCGGCGACGATAGATAATGGATGTACGTTAATCTCGGCGTCCTCTTTCCTCTTCTTTCATCTATCTTCGTCCGTTCCGCATCATCCCTCCTCGCCGCTACCCTCTCGAGTTCCACTCTCTCTCCCTCTTACTCTCTCTTACTCTCTCTCTCTCTCTCTCTCTCTCTCGCCTCCCACCACGCGGATGAAAGCTTCCAGCCAGCTGATCGTCGATGAAACCCGCGCAAGCGTCGCGACGTCTCGATATAGCTACCCTCGACGGCGGCCTGCAGCGGCGTCGAGCGCTCGTGGTCGCACGTCTCGTTACGCCGATGCGCCACTCCTGTGGAAGTACTCTCGCCAGAAATACTCTCGTCCGCGTCGTTTGCAGTTGGATTTTACGATTTTACCATCGCGGGCCGTACTCCGAAGGTTCGCACCGCGGCGTTCGCATGCGAGGCGTAGTCGCGAGGGGATCCGAGATTAGTCCGAGGATAGCACGTTTCGCCGATGGTGTTTATGCACGAGATATCCGCCGCAGGTTCGCTCCCATGTAACACGTGTCGTAATCGACGCGTAAGACGTCCCACTTTTGCGGGGGCGTCGCGATGGCCCGGCGTCTCGATGTCTCGGCGACGGCCGCGCGTAGCCCTGACTGACACCGATATATTAAACCAGATAGAGACACGTCGCCGAGTCTCGGAGGCACACCGGCTCGGAGGTGGCCTTGACCTTGCACGGCGCTTACGCCGATATCGCTCGATGCCGCGCGGCTGGCTCGTCGGATTTCGGCGTATGCGTCAAAAGATTTCGCACGACGATTTTCAGCGTCTTTCCGACGCGGCGCGGACGTGTTGACGACGGTATTATCATCGCCGGGCGGCGACGGCCCGATCCCCTTTTCCTGTAATTATCGCGGCGTCGTCAACATTGCGGCGCATTGTTAATCGGGTCGCGCTTTTTGCGATGGCAACTCGGGTGACGCGCGGCGGAAAATGCGGTTAGATAAGGATTTATTGCGGCCTACAAGCGTAATAAAAAATTATCGGGGCGTCGAGTAGCTTCTGCCTGTGACAAATGATCCTCGCAAGGCGGTTCTGCTGTTTGCGGAACGATAGAGAGGCTCACCGGGGCGCGCGCTCGGTCTCTCCGCCGCGCGCTCTCTCACCCTCGCTATTTTAACTCGCGCGCTTATCTTCTGCCTCGTACGTATCTCTCGACAACCGCTCTGTCTGTGTTTATCAAGATCTAGCGACTTACGGAAACCCCCTCGACGTCGTAGGTTGTCGCGCGGTGGCGAGCGCAAATCCACCTGGATGTAAAATCGTTGGCCCGAGGTTGCTGCATTTGCTGGCGCGCGTCTAGAATGATCGGGGGCGGGGGGGGGGAGGGGAGATTTCTCTCTGGTCTTTCTCGTTAAATTACGACGATTAATTAACTGAACTACGCTTTAAAGTCACGTGCGATTCGATCCGACCGTCATCGCGTGTCGACGAATCTGTTACCACGTTAAATCGGTAAAGGGATTCGTTCGACCGAAAAGCCGGAATCTATTTGGTTTACGCGTTGCTATTTGTACACGCCAGCATACGGGCAAGCGCATGTTTGCTCAACGATAAGGCACGATTAGCGGCGAAATGATAAGAAACGATCCATCCGCTCGTCCCCGCGCGAATTTCGTGCGCGATGAAGTACTCCGTGGCGCAATTTGATTTAGGGCAGCACATTATCGCGGTATCCGACGGCACAGTCTCACAACGAGACGATAAAAAGCGACGCGAACCGTTCGAAAAAAATTGCCCCGTCTCTCCGATTTTCATTTTGACACACGGCGCTCCGTCATTGGCGCCGTTAATGACGGTCAAATTAAAAAACGTGGATCGATTCCACCTCGATAAATATTTCATATGTCGTGAAAAAGAGGGACCGTTATCTCTCGCGAGCTTCTCTCTACCGGCCATATCCCTTTACATCCGTCCGACTTATAAAACGAGATTTCATCTTCATTTTCTTCATCAAATAAGCATCATTAATTTCGCGCGTACTATTCCGTGATTTGACTTCGTGAAATTTTTAGTGAGATCATTCCGATATTCACCACGGAATTTATTATTAAAAGGAGCGACAGTAATGGATTCGATCGGAACTACGGACGGTGTACATCTGTTTTTCCTTTTGCCTCTCCTTGTCTCCCGACCCCCTGTCCGACACTTCGTCTCCCGTTGATTCGCCGCTTGTGTCGAGCGGTTATCGATTTTTCGTTACGCCACGCGCAACCTTGGATTGTCGCGTTTTTTCGACTTCGTACCGAGCGTAATCGTGAGATTATTTTTGCGCCATGGACGAGCGTGCTACCTGGGAAAAAACGGATACGAAGAGCGAAAGTGCAGCGAGGCTGCGCGATCGTTTCGAAATTAACGCGCGAATCTCGCGTGTGTGACGAACGATCGACGTCGCATTTTGGTGATTACATCGACCCTGTAATTTTACCGTCGTTAATATTCCTGATGGACAAGCGCCGACCGAACGGCGCTTTAACGAAGGAGGCGGCATTGATCCAAGTTACATCGGTCGGCCAGACACAGCGTCTCCCGGCCCGGATTTCGAATTCATCCCCCCCCCCCCGCGTCGTCGCGCCCCCGATGCCCGGCTGCGTGACGATTGTACGCGGTATTACCGCGGCTTATCCTGAAATTAGCCTGCTGGGTATCATTCCCGGAGCTCGAGCGGGCGGTTATATCCATCCGCCTGCGGACAGAAGCCGGACTCTGTATGGGGGCAAGTAAGGCAAGGGTTCGCGAAACAACAACCCTGCCGGGAATGGCCGCTTGTTGCGGTGGGGCACGCAATCATATAACGTACGACATTTTCCCGTGCTCCATAATTTAAAGGGCATTCTGGAGTCGCGTCGACGAGCGGCGTATGACCGAGACTTGTAGGGGGTGCCGTTAGACTTTTTAATCAGATCGGGGGCTCGGCTACATATATTAACCATGCCTTTCGCGGTGATCACCGCACGCGGCTAGGAAACCCGGATATTACTGCAACTGAAACGACTGCGTATTGCGAATACTATTGACATATTGCGCAAGTAAAACACAACAATGGACATGTATCCACGTAAACGCGTGTGCTAACAATCCCTCTTACATGCAAGCTATGTTTCAGTTATATAACACGAGCCATACATCAGACGTGTACTTTTCCTCCACGAGGCTTGTAGCGTCAAAAAACAAAGGCTTTAAAGAACGACACGTCCCTGTTCCTCCTAATCCTTCTAATTTTACATTGTAATTTTACATTGCGATGTTCGAGCGAGTTACACGCATATTTACAAAATATGTCTAATTCCAGAATGCGAAGAAAAAGAAGTGTAACTTCGAATAAAATCAGATATAAAATTGTCGAATCCCATTACAGTTTATTACATCTTTGAAAGAATTGTATGGAATCCAGGCTACAGGATACAACGGCTTTCCGAGCGTATTTCCGCTCCCAATATTCTGTAAATGTTTCCGAAGAACGCGCCGGATTTAATAAAGTCGCAAAACAACAGTACGCCAAACCGAAATTTTGCTTGTCTTATTTCTTGTCTCTATTACTGGCGAGATTGGAGAGGGGCCGGGGGCCTTCGTATCCCCTGGCGAACAATGTTGCGCGGATGTGCTGTTATGTTATTTAGAAGGTATACCGCGCGCACGACGATGCTCGTGCATCGCTCGATGATTCGAAAGAGGTAGCGACGCTCGCTCGGCT